CAGGTCAGTCAATTCAGAGGCTTTAATCTTTTTATAAGTAGAGATATATCTGATTATCTTCATGAAGTGATTAATAATAATTAAAATTAAGTCATATTCTTTAACTCTTGTTGACTTCAGTAGATCAACTATGAAATTTATTAATAGATTCTGTCATGAGCTCTTTGAAACAGGCAGTGATATTAACTCACTGTATTGCTTATACTGTGAAATCTTTATTCTTTGACAGATATTGTAAGTCTTAACATACTCTTTGATATCTGTCTGAAGCTTGTTTTAAGTATATTTATATTTTAAAAGCTTCTCAGTCTTCTCTAATCTGAAGTGCTTTGTATAAGAATCATTATAATGAATTCTCAATAACTTCTAATGTATCACTCTACTATGAGAGATGAAGACTGAATTATTCAGTAGTATAAGTTTACATTCTTCTAGTTATCAGTGACTTGATTTCTTAGTGACACTGTCTCACTCAGAGTCTGTCTCTTCTAAGTTTAAACTGAACTCTTTCTTCTTTAACTTCTGAATTTAAGCTGTAGTAGAGATGTTTCTCTTCTATAACTTATCAATAAATTTCAAAAGTAGTTAAGTTGAAAGATTGTAGACTGTTTCATTCTTTATCAATTTAATAATTGTAAGATATAATATAAGAAGCTTATGATCTTCAGTATCAGTTCTCTGTGAGAATCTGAGTTTTCTTTCATCTTCTATACTGAGTCACACAGCTGTCTCTTCAGCACTATTTCTGAGCTTCAGAGAATCTCAATTCTCTGCAGTCAGCTTCTTCTGCAGTGATGACAGAGATTCTTTTATAGAATTCTTCTCTATATCAATGATATTATAATTGAGCTATTTAGACAGTGTATTGATGAGATTAAGCTGATCTGAATGATATCAGATATAGAAATTATACTCTGAAAGCAGCTCTGTTCATCTGACTTGATATTCTATTAAGCTCTTTATTATTAAGAAGTAATGCAGATTTGCATAATCAGTGAGAACTTACACTGAGTACTTACTACTCTGAAGATAATGTTATCAGATCTTAAAGAATTTGATAATTACTAACATCTTCTAATCATAAATATCATACCTTCTCTGTATGAGTGATAATTTCTTGAAGAAGAAGGTCACTAATCTTCATTCATAGCATTTTATAGACTCTATAAAAAAGTCTTCTCTCACAGACAATTCATTATCTATTTTCTTAGAGATGATTATTCTCTGATTCTTTCAATGTTAAAAGATCTTTGATATCAACTGTGAAAAGATTTCACAGATTTCATTTCTGAATATATCAGTCTCACACTGACTGAGTAAGTCAGAGTTAAAGTGATTCAGTATTATAATATCTGTAAAAGCTTGTTTCAATTCTGTAAATGTCTGCACAGTGTCTTGAGTGAGAGTAAACAGTCTTATTTTTCTATCTTTCACACTTCTCTTTAACAGATCTGTAAGAGAGACAGTAATCTGTGAATATATATAGATGAATTATCTGTAGAAATTCACAAATTCTAGAAATACCTGCATCTTACAGTATGTTCACAGCACTGATCAGTTCTCAATAATAAAGACTCAGCTTCTGTTCATTGAAATGTTATTCATCTCAATAATATAATCTAAGAAATTAATCTTCTGTATGTAGAATAAGCATTTTTCAGTGTTTATATAGAGTTGATACTGTCTCAAGTGACTCAATACTTCTTGAATATGAGTATTGTGTTCTTTCTCTGTTTTTGAGAAGATTAGAATATTATCTAAGTATACTATATAGAAGATGTTGACAAGGCTCTGCAGTGTCTTATTTATATAGATCTGAAAGACAGCTAAAGTGTTATAAAGATCAAAAGATAAAACAAGATATTCAAAATTACTGTACTTGATATGAAAAGCTGTTTTTCAAATATTGTTTTTATTAACTCTGATTCTATGATAGATATTCTGTATATTAATCTTTGAGAACATCTTTACTTCAGATAATTAATTAATCATCTTATTAATTAATAGTAATGAATAGTAATTCTTAACTGTCATCTTATTAAGGTCTCTGTAGTCTACACATAGATATAGTCTATTATTCTTCTTAAATATAAAGAGTATAGATGTCTCTGCTGAACTCTTTGATAAATGTATTCAGTTCTTTGATTGTGCTTCTTTAAGATATTTATGCAGAACATTCAATTTCTTTACAGACAAGTTGTAAAGAGGCCTGTATAATACTGTTGTACTATCTTCAAGATAAATCTTATATTGTATCTTGATATCAGGAAACTTTACTACTTTTCTTTCTGAAAAGACATTCTTAAAATCTGTAAAGAGATATTGTGTACATCTGTCTTTAATAATGAATACTGCTGCTAATCTTACAGTGAGAGTGATGACTTCTTCATCTATTTTCAAGTCTCAATCATCTGCTATACAGTATATTAACTCAATCTTTTTCTCAAGATTCTTCTGATGAAACTCTTCAGATTTCTCTATCACTGTTTCTTCATTAGTGAGATAGTATCATCACATCTGAGTGACTCAGTCAATGAGAGAATTGTTTTCTCTCAATTATGAAAGACTTAGAATGATATTCTCATCTATGATATTAACTGTATGAAGAAGTAGACTGCTCTTCTTAAAGATTTCTTCTAAGTCTGTGATCACACACTTTACTTGAATTATGTTAAAATGATGATATTTTATTTCATCAGTAAATTTTGCATGATCTGATAGATCTATCTTCTTTCAATTCTTCATTAAAGAAAAGAAATAGAATATGAAGTTAATATCTACTCTAAAGTTAAGTAGACATCTCACTAGTATCTCTTCATTCAGAGTATATACTGTGATTGTAACATGAACTCAAAGATGTAAGAATTGTCAATTCTTCTCTTTCTCTTCTTTATCTTTCATGAATACATTTGTCAGAAGAGAAGTTAACTTTGAGAAGATATCTTCTTAGTTTCTTCTCTTCTTCAGCTTCTTATAATCACTGATATAGTAATCATCAGCTCTGCAGTTGAAACAGAGATCTTTGTTAAATCTTTTTTAATATTTCTTTACAGTAAGTGAAGAATCAGAATACTTAGAATTCTTCTTTACTTTCTCTACACTGAAGCTGTCACAGTACTGTTTAAATTCTGTTATTAATTATTTACAAGAGATCTTATTAATCTTTTTCTCAAAGAATTGATTATTCAAATAGATCTGAGAAGTCAGATTGACAAGCTCAGTATAATTAATTAATAAACTCTGATATTATGATATTATTATCTGCATCTTATAAGTCAGTTTTATGAGATAAAGCTGTGTTTTTAATTGATTCAAATTATCAGTCAATTTCTCTCAATATTCTTCAAATCTTATATTGAAATTAGCAGAATTCTTATCATCTTATTAATATAATAAGTTAAATCACTGTGCTGCTGTGAAGCTGTAATTATAATAATCTTTGATTTAATTCAGTAGAAAGTTCTTGAATTCTTTCTAAATTATAACAGTATTAATACACTTAAACTCTCTCTTCTTAGTAATTTAAGTAATTACTGAGATGTCTTTAAGAAGATTGATAATGTATATTACTTATATCTTGTAAGTATTATACTGGCTTGAATTAAGGCAGAATTTCTGTTTAAGAGTATAGATAAAGCTGTGAAATTCAGATAAGATATTTCTTTTATATTTTAAAAAATCTTCAATCTTAATCTCTCTATCTCTATAATAGATGTAGATGTGTAGAGACTGCAGCAGTGATAAAGTAGTTAAAGAGCTTATATTAAAATATACAGTGAGTTCAGAAATCTCGGATTTCTACTGAGATAGAAATGTACACACTCTAGAGAATAGTATAGTATTTCTCTCAGAGAGTGAGATCAGATTAATTTCAGTATAGATATATAAGATTATATTGATCTGTTAAAGCTCAACTGATTTAAATATATAATCAGATTGAGTGATTTGAATTGTAATATAATAAAACTAAAGTGATAACTAGTCAGTTATATTATATAGAGATAGTTGTTTAAGAAGCTGTATAAGTGAGCTTAACTATCTTGCTTAAATAGTGAGCTTATAGACTACAGAGTTATTATAAGAATATCATAGATATAATACTTAGTGTACTAAGAAGATTGTATAAGATATACAGCAACTCTTATATATATTTTAGTAGAAGAAAAACAAATTACTGACTTTTTTAATAAGAAGTCAGCATCTAACTATTCTATATAGATAATAAGTGAATACTTTTCTCTTATTTCATAAGTGAGAATAGTCAGAGTGATATCTCAGCAGTGTCTTATTATCAAGAAAGAGTAATCTGCTGATCTTGTATAGAAGCAGAGTTCTTATATTTATCAATTGAATCTTTCTATGATATATCTGAATGATGTCATAGAGTGATTGAAAACTAGTTCATATTTGATGAAATCATTCACATTGAAGTGATGAGCTGTGTGAAACCGCAACAGGGCCTTGGCGCGGCCGGGAGTGTGACAGATAGATTGATTTAAATCATCATTAAAAATTAGTATTCTGAAGATAAGAGATAGTAAAGAATTTAATAAGTTAAAATAAACAGATTCTATAGATAAATATTAACTCTGCTTTTCTTTATTCTGAAGTTTCTTCATTATCTTATTATTAAATTTCATACTCTGATGAAAACTGATTTCAGTCTTATCTTAAAAGTCAGATATCTTCTTATAATAAGTGATTATTCTATCAATAAATTATCTAGTGAAGTATGTGATTCTAAGTCTTAAGCTGAACTCTGAAGTAACAGATGTATTACTTATATTAAGATAACTCTACTTCTTCTAGATATAAAAAAGAAGTGATATTCTTCATAATAAAGAACACACTTTCTTAAAAATATAAAGTATATAAATCTACTGACTAGTAGATTCAGAGAAAATGAAATATCTTTAATAAAGAGTAGAGTCTTTTCAAAAAAGATGAACTATCTATATTAAAAAAATATTAATACAATGTTCTAAAAAGAAAAACATGCCATTCAGGCTATAATCTGTAGAATAGTTGAAGGTTGTATTGATAGATCTATCTACAAGAACATAATATAGTTGTGGGTCACGTGATCTAATGGGATCGCTAACCGCAACGGCCGTAACGGCCAACAGTTAGCGATCACTGACTGTGGAGCGGGGGCGGAAAAGTAAGGGAGAGGAAAAGAAAAAAGGGCTCAAATGCCTGTGCCAAAATAAGGGTGATAATATCAACAGGAGAGATGGGAGGTTCTGTACGGAAACATCAGGTTTCAAGATTTGTCCCTCCGAATTCAAACATCCAGCGCTTGACTCTTTGATAGTTTAACTACCAGATAAAACGGCGGGATCATCACAATCATTCATTTTCAATTGGACGTGATGTCAATTCCTCTCTGCTCTGCCGGTTGAAATTAAAATAAAAGTAAAATAAAAGTAAACATCTCGGTCACTCACTCGGTAAATTCTTCGTGTAATAAAATTAGAGTCAGGCATTCATCTTTGCCTCTGAAGCTTCCACAGGAGTCCCGTAGTCCCGGGTTATGCACATATATATTAGCTGATGTAAACCATATCCAAGTTACAACTCCGAAGTTACTCATGTTGGGCCCATTTTATAAAACTTACTGCCACAGATATACTAGGTATCGAGCTTACAATTATATTCCATGCACAAGCGGATGACGAGGAAATCAGAAGCATACTAATAATATATAGAGAACAGGTAGGAAGCGGAGAGAAGTATTTCACATAATGTCTTGTAATGTCTCGTTGGGCTCATTTCATGGGATCAACTCATAGCTCCCTTGCAGCTCAACAATCTTCGCGATTCCCCTTTTGTGAGCTTCCCTCTCCTGGATCCGACTCACATACTCCGTGAGGTAAGGGTGTTGTTCCTTGTTGATCAAGCCTCGCAGAACCCCTGCCTCCAGCGGGAAGCTCATCAAAATGTCCGAACCCGTGACGATGTCTCCGCAGAGGAATAGACCCTTCCCTGGCGATGATTTGAGTTGGTCTTCTAGGAAGCTGAGGTTCGTCGCTAGGTCTGATTTTACTAAAGCCGAATGTAGTTGAGAAGCTATCATTTTTGTTACCGGTCTGATGAAGAAAGGCACGGGCGCATCTCGAATTCCTTTGGAGTCTTGTCAGCCATTGTTTTCCCCAATTAATCCGGAGTATGTTAAACCCCCTTACCTTCGACAATGAGTATTCTCATCAATAGGCCCATCAGAGACCCTTCGGCATAGTGCATGAAGTACCGATCACGCCGCCATGATTCTGTCTCACCCCCTACTTGACCTTCCTTCCCATCAATATATCGCTGAGGAATTAAATGCGGGCCAAAATGGTCGACTAGATACTCGACGATAGTAGCAGATTCGGCCAGAATCACTGGCGGATTCGGAGCCTTCTCGACCGATATGACTGGAGATTTCCCTAGAGGGTGGATTTCCTTCAGCTCGGGCGCAGCCAGCATGTCCTTGTCCCGTTTGAATAGTTTTATCTGATATGATAAACCTAGCTCTTCTAGAAGCCAGATGATGCGTTGCGCGCGGGACTTTTCCAACCTGTTGCACCAGTCAGTCAGGAAAAACGCCGACTTAAACAGTGCCAGAGAACAACATAAATACCAGTAGACTGTAATCTTCACACCACTATCTAAACCGGTCGCCATCTTGGCAGAGCAAACCACATTCGAGGATTCCTAGCTCTATGGTCTTATTCCACCGAGGGATGTTAAGTTCGCGCGAGAAAGGAAAAATGCGTCTATGTAAATAATTGTTCAGCAATATGGGGATCTTCTGCTTGAGTTCATCAGCTTTGATGTCAACTAGATCTCCCCTAGCTAAAAAAAAAAGAACGAAACCTGAATGTTGCTGCCTACGTAGGTCACTGATGAATATTTTGGATACGACACTAGTGAAGATTTCAGGAAAATAGCACTCACTCTCTTCCAAGTTCTTGACATCGCAGTAGCTGTTAAAAAGCTCCACCTCTGTTTGACATCTGGACAGCTTCAGAGGAAGAAGCTTGATTATACATATAATAATATCACTGATGTTCGCAGTCTTCCCGCCCATATATATATGTAAATATATGAGACAACTATACTACGTACCTTAGTTATACTCAACACATAGATTCCACAGCATGAAACACTGAAAGTTGATTGTTCAAACCGCCTCTGCAATCCGAGTTGACTTTGCGCCTGGTACCCTGGCGCTGATGACTAATCAACTTCGCCCAACCCGGCAATTCTCATCATCACAACCTTGAACCTCATTGCGGGCGACAGTTGGTTGACCTTGAACCACCTAGATACACCGCCGTAACAGCAACATCCTCCTCCGCGCAAGGCCCGCAACCATGGCTGGTCCCAATCCAAGTCTGCTTCCCTTCCTCATACCTCTCCTCTCCTCTTCGGCCAATTGCTGACACACTTCCTCTCGCAGATTTGACTCTTGATCCGGCCCTCCAGAAATATTATGGTATGGATTTCCAAGTTCTTTAGCCTTTGACACTTATTCCCCGCTGGGTGGTCTCCTCCCTCCACCTGATAAAACAATAAATCTCTTGCTCATCGACTTCTGTTTTTGTGCAGAGCTGAATGTCAACCGATACAAATACTTCCGCTGGACCCCGCGCACAGTATGGATCTCGTTCTGCTACATGGCTCTCGTGCCCGGAGTTTTGGCTTACGTCGGCTACAAAACTGATGTAAGTGTGCAATATTCTTCTTCAATTGGAAATTGAAATTGCGTGGTCGCTGTCGGCGGTTATCGTGGATCTTTTTGTAACGAGTTGGGTTGAACCAAAGGCTGATCCGGATGAATGACTTTTACGGACATATAGGGGAAGTTCGACTTCAGAGGGAAGAGAAGGGGAGATACAATAGTGGAGTGGTAGAGTTATTTTCTGTACATACATAGATAGGGGGGGTCGCAAAATAAATTAACCACGGGAAGGCCCCATCATCCGACAGTCACAATGGAGTACTGGCATACTTCCCTCTGCATTCTCTTATCGCGAGTTGCAGCTCTCCGTATGTTTGAGGCGGACATGGTTTGATGCTGTATTTTAGTCTACGAAATTCAAGTATTCTCCAAACAAAGTCGTTTGGATAGTTGATTTCATTAGAATATCGGTATTCGTCAAACATTATCCAGCAACGGAAAGAAAAAAGGTCTGAACAATAGAAGAAAGAGAAAAAGAGATAAAAGAGAAAAAAAAAAGAGAATTATGAGAAAGAAAAACCAGAGATATCCCGAAGTAGATGAATCATACAGAGGAACCGCCCGGCAAAACAACAAGAGAAAAGCACAAGGAAAGTCGCTTAAATTTAAAACCACATTTACTGTCCGTTCCCGTAAGCATATGGAATGAAAATTGAATAGGAGAAGCACTAGGCTCTCAACCAAATTCAATAGGGTCTTCCACGACTCCTTGGATGGCCCCGACCGAAGCCACGCCCTCCTGCTTCAGGGACCCTTTCTCCTCTCCTCCATTCCCCTGATGGGACTCCAGATGGGCCAGTCGGAGGGAAACCCCCTCCCCTACTCAGCGTTCCAGCCCCCCTTGGTCTGCCAAAACCATTTTCCCTTGATGAAGATGGTCCATTGCCAAAGGCCCTCATCCCCCCACCAATTGTTAAACTGCCAGCCACTCCCCTGTTTATGACGGCGGGCGCAATAGAGCCATCGGACAAAGGCGGGAGGACAGCACAATCGACGTAGTCACCAATCACAAAGCGGAAATCCTGTAAGCATTTATCCGCTTCATCGCCTTGAAGCTTAAATGCTCCGTTTGCTGGATGATCCTTTTCACGTCTTCCTGTGTTCTTGTTTTCACTTGGTCCGACAATTACGCTACCCATATCTCGACTCAAGTACCTTCCCCGCCCTTCGCCTGCATTTCCTTGATTTCTTGAATCAGGGTATATGAGCCGAAAGCTCAGGCGCGTTCCGATAGCAGGGTTCGGGAGAATAGAAGGTAGGCATGACGTTAGGAGCTGGGCAAGTTCGCGTAGAGAACAAGACGGCCAGGTGTAAATCTGAAGGTGTGGGGGAAGCGGAGGAGGGGGGTTGGACGCGTTTGCGGTTCCGGCGGATGGAGGTGGGGGAATCGGGAAATCTGAGAGATGATGGAAGGCGTGCTGGCGGTAGAACAGCTTCAGATGAAATGGAGTTGTTGTCTGGCGGTCAATCTTGGGAGGCGCATCAGACTTGTCTTCCGCCATAGTTGCGGCGGAGAGCGCGCATGCGTTGCTAGGACCGCAGCGGCTGCGACAAGCGGAGCGAGGCTGGACGGGAGGAGCGAGCGGTGGCCAATGTAGCTATGAGAAGCACAATAGAAATTTCGTCAACTCGATATAACGGGGTACAAATTCACCATCTATTACGCGCGATAGGGTGCTATGTAGACGTAGTGATGGGTGGAGTGGTGAGTGGAGGAGTTGAAAAGCTTGGAGCGATGTTTCCGGCAGTTTGGGCATAGCAACAACGCAACGCCAAGCCACGGAATTTGGGCTGAGCTTGAGCCTCCACCAACAAGCGAACAACACTCGAGAACATTCCGCTTACTTCTTTGAAGCTACAATAATTCTATCTGATACAGCTGTTTTATCTCATCTCTTCGTTATCCAACCTTTGCCTGCACTCCCACACACCCGCATGCCCACCATGGATTTCGCGTCGCTAATGGCTAAGGAAATTTCCAAGGCTAAGTCACCGGAATCGTCCTCAACCACCTCCGGCTCCAGTAAGCAATACGTGAAACGAGCCGACGCCGAAGCGGCTAGGCTGGCAGCATACAACGCGGAACAAGAAAAACTGCAGAAGGAACGCGAGCAACGGGCTGAGCGGAAACGTAAGTTGGAGGAGGAAGAGGCGGAAAGGAATCGGGAGAGGGAGGAGAAGAGAAGACGGTTGGCAGAGGAATCTAGGCGGAAAAGAGAAGCTGAGGCAGCGGCCAAAGAGCGAGAGCGGCGGAGGAGACTCGGCCTTCCAGAGATTCCTGAGGGTAGTCCAGGTGATTCGAAGGAAGGCACTCCGCTGGGCGACGATGAAGCAGACCTTGGTGAGGATGAGGTGATTGACAAGCTGAGGGCTGCCGGCGAACCAGCAAAGCTCTTTGGAGAGAGCCATAAAGGCCGTGTAAGGCGATATCGACGACTTGTGCAGCGATCCCTCACCCCACAGCAGCACATTTCCGACGGCCCGATTCCGACAACCCTGGTTCTCGTTCCCGAGGCTGAAATGAAAGTCCCGTCCAAGTTACCCACTGATGAGGAGGGACGTAAATTCCTCTTCCGACAACTAGCATCCTACTTTACGATGATCTTAAAAGAATGGGAAATCGCCTTGTCAAAGCGAGATGCCGCTGTAAAACACAGCTACCAAGGAAAGCAGGCTTACAATGCCATGGTGCAGTCCCGGGAGAATATGCGACCGTTGTTTAAAATGTTTGAAAATGGAGATTTGGAGACGAGCATACTTGAGCCAGTAGTGGAAATTGTACGCAGCGCACAGAACAGGCGCTATGTTGACGCGAATGATGGTTATCTTCGACTTAGTATTGGGAAAGCGTAAGTCGAATATGCCGTTCTCAATATCCAAACTTTCAATTTTGCAAATCCCGATAGTCAGTTTGCCTGAGTTGTCTAAGCTGACTTTGTGATTCCTAGAGCCTGGCCTATCGGAGTTACTATGGTTGGTATCCATGAGAGATCTGCGCGAGAGAAACTTCATCAAAGCGATAAGAGCCAAGCTCATATCATGAGCGACGAAATCACACGCAAATTCCTACAAAGTATCAAGAGATGCCTGACTTTTGCCCAGGTCCGCTGGCCGCCAGATGACCAGCTTCAGCTCATGGGTTAATTTTTTTGTTCTTTCATTGTCGACAGATGGATAGCTACTGCCTTTCATAAGTTTGGCCTCCAAATTGTCCAGGTATCTATCCCTAATATAGATCGAGTTGCACGCGATGCGAGAAATACAATCAAACAGTCTAACCAGTAAACAATAACTTTAGATGCTCCCACCAAGATTTCAGTGGATTCGCAACGGAGTGGGGACGAATGTGCTTCTCTCGTAGTATCTCAGCCTGCCTTTCAGATTTAAGTTCGATCCTTCTGACGTTGTTGTGCTCCTCCGCACCGTTTATGAATGCACTCTCGGCAGTCCGGTCTTTTCTTGTTGCGGTTTTCGAGTAGAAATTTCCTGGAGCATGTCCATTTCGCTCATTGAAGTCCGACTGCATGAGCTTTCCAGCGGCGTAAATGCAACCCCCATAAGCAAATCTGATCAACGAGTCCCCAGTCAAACTGCCAATTATGAAGACATCCTTCGTGACTTCTAAGCCTTCTAGTGCCCGAGCGCGCATTGTTTGCCTCGAAACCCATCTGAAATCGTCTGCAGGCGTTTCATTGTCGAATATTTCAGCTAGCAGGGGTTTGCTTAGATAGTTCAGCGAGCTCCTTCGGCCAACCATATGCGCTAGTCCACTTACTTCGCGGGAGAGGGTGGTCCCATCCTCTCGTCGAAATGTGACTAGTGCTGTCTCATTATCCAACACAATATCCGTGACAACGGTGTTGGGAATACCCTCATAGTTATCGGTCCAATTTCTACTTTCCAGAAAAGGAATCGAATGTCCACGAGGCCGTTTTGGGCGACTTGTCCCGTTACTCTGCTTTGATTGAGCGAAGGCCCGTTTCATGAGGCGATAAATAGAGGCATACTCGGGGTATTCTTGCTGGTGACAACTTTTCAATGGTGACGGATTGGTTTCTGGTTTCCATTTGAAAACATGGATTATTGTTTGATCTGGATGAGAGGAAATAATGACGTCCGCTGCTGAAAACCCAGATCCGATGATTAAGAGTGGGGCACGTCGTGGTTGCATCGCCGTCGTTGGAGGCGGTAATTTTAACAAGGGCAACAACAATGGTCGCGGGGGAATACGCTCCGTGAAAACCCCCGATGCCAGGATCAACTTGTTGCAAGTGATATTATGTGACCTGATATAGAAACCATTCTCAGTGCGAACTACTCCACTGATTTGCTGGCTGCATCGAATTGATTCGGATATCCCTACGAATGTAGCATAAGCGGCAAGATACTCCGCTACCGCCTCCCTCGATGGCCTTGTGAACGGCGGTAAAGGACAGGCGTGGACGCGTTGATGGTGCTCAGCAAAGCTATATCCAGGCAATGAGAGCATACCAGCGTAACTTAACGTTTGGATGTTTGGGGCTGTCCCCTCTGGACACTCTGTCCATTGTCCTCCAGGATGAACTGCAGACCCAAAAATAATATGGGAGGCAGCCCTTTCTGGCATGTACCGCCATTGGACACTTGTTTCTGTCCCCTCATCATCGTCTCCATTCGGCCGAATCAGAGCGTCAAGAAGAACGTTAACAGGAAGAGCTTGGGTGGAATATGGGAACCTAGATGCGCCGAAATGGGTTGTCAAATGACCAATGTCTAGGTGGAGGAGCTGCGGGTTGTCCTTTAGCTTTGCATGGAGTAAGGGATCCGGATGGGGTTTCTCCGGGTTGTAGAATGGAATATGGCCGTGGAGGATATAGGAAAGTATCATGGCAGATGGTCCATTTCCTGCATGGAGTCATGGAAGCAATTTACATTGATTAGCAGAGGTTTCAACACGGGTTGGGTTTGGGGTATGCGTTCTTCTTTTTGTCTGTGCGAGGAGAGGGAGGGCCAGGGAATGTCCAAAGTTCTCACCAACAATGACGACATCAACCGACGTAGGAACATTTGATTTTTCTGCCATGGGCGGAGACTGGATCATCAGGCATTCTGTAGAGGAACAGTGATTGGCGATACTTTCCAGCGTCTGCCGTGGGACGAGAGCTCACGCCTCCCCACCCTTCGTGCCAGGTGCAGGAAGCTGCATGTAAAAATGGCAACTTATTCCATGTAGCAGGTGAACGTCAGTTCATCATCCAAATGCGGTCCCGAACACGATTAATCGAAAATGCGAATGGTTAGTTAGATAGATGAAGTTTTTTGAAAGGAGTCTGAGGGGGGGAATGTTAGAGATCTTGAATGTCTGATAGCTATTTTTTTGCTTTTTTCTCTTTTTTATTTTCTGGAAGGTTGTTGGTTGTGGTTTTCGTTAACTGCTGAGACGCGAGAGCTGCTGACAAATGGGCGGCAATTGGCTGCCGAGGTGTTGAAGGTTCTCCTGTTGGCCGTTACGGCCGTTGCGGTTAGCGATCCTACTAGATCACGTGACCCACCACTATATTATGCTCTTGTAGTGTAGGATAGTTGAAGGTTGTATTGATAGATCTATCTACAAGAACATAATATAGTGGTGGGTCACGTGATCAGTGGGATTGCTAACCGCAACAGCTGTAACAGTCAACACCCCCTCTCAAGATAACAAGAATTACATATCAAAACACTCAATTCACTAAGATAGTCTGTCAAAACTAAATACAAATATAAAATTAAGTATTCTCAACTTTTATATCTATAAGACTTAGTAAAATTATGAATTGTGTAAATATTATACTATTTAAAGATTTAGTAAGTTCATCTACTATTATCTAAGTAATAAGTATATATTTTAAATTAATAATTCTCTGATTCAACTATTAATGTGAAAAATGAAAACATGTATTAATATACTTACTTCAGACAGCTGATTATATAATAATATACAATCACTTCATTACAAACTCACTCAATTTTTCAAATAAGAACTTATTAATAGATTCATTAAAAAGCTCTTAATTATACAAGCATTTTAACCTTATCACTGACTACATACTCTGTGTAGTAATGAAGTTATTCAGTTAAATATAAACTAGACATTGTTTAAAACTTCTATATAAGATTATCTCTCATTCTTCTCTATCATATCACAATCTCAGATCAAAGTATTATACAAATTATAAGATAAAGAGACCTAGTTATATACATTAATCTTCTTAATTTTGAAAGATCTCTGATCTGTAGTTGTGAATAGACTAACTGTGTGACCGTGTCTGAGACCAGAATCAGATTTTTTGATAGTTTTATTATCAATTCAACTGATCTTATTACACAGTTTTAACATTAGATAGTAGTTTCATACTGTCTCAGTGAGACTTACTGTCTACTCTTATCACATTTTTCAAATGAAATCATGATTTTCACTTCTCAATTTAAATTATTTTTATTGCTTTAAATGACTTTAAATCTCATTTGAGTATTATCAAAAAGTGTTACTTTTTAAAAAATTAAAAATAGTCTAAAAAAAACCTTAAAATGTCTAAAAATAGTAACTTTATGTCAAGAATGAGACTAAATGAAATCAAATGAGATTAGACTGGCCGCCGGGATCATGAATTTCATGTTTGATTTCATTTGGTCTGGTTTCATACATTTCTTGGTGTGAATCTCGCTGGGACTGGCTATCAAAAAAACATGTAAAGTGACTATATATCAGATCTTAAAATGAAATCATGACTTGAAAAAAATGAGAAAGTGGTTTCATTTGATTTCATTTAGTCTCATTCTTGACATAAAGTTACTATTTTTAGACATTTTAAGGTTTTTTTTAGACTATTTTTAATTTTTTAAAAAGTAATGCTTTTTGATAATGCTCAAATGAGATTTAAAGTCATTTAAAGCAATAAAAATAATTTAAATTGAGAAGTGAAAATCATGATCTTATTTGGAAAATGTGATAAGAGTAGACAGTAAGTTTCACTGAGACAGTATGAGATCACTATCTAATGTTAAAACTGTGTAATGGGATCAGTTGAATTGGTAATGAAACTATTAAAAAATCTGGTCCTGGTTCCAGACACGGTCACACGGTCAGTCTAAATGAGATCGTTTTCTTATTTTTTTCAAGTCATGATTTCATTTTAAGATCTGATATATAGTCACTTTATATGTTTTTTTAATAGTCAGTCCCAGCGGGATTCATACTAAGAAATGTATGAGATCAGATTAAATGAAATTAAACATGAAATTCATGATCTCAGTAGTCAGTCTAGTTGTGAAGATATCTGAGAAGTAATCTTCATAAAAACTCTGTTTATCTTTGATGTTTTAAAACATCAATGTTAAGTCTAACTCTTGTATCATTCTTTTTAATCTGACTCATTCTCAGCAGAAAAATATAAAAAGATATCTCAGTGATAATATAAAGTATATAATTAATAGTCACTTCTGAAGTGCAATCTCTGTAGTCTGTCTTCAGTGTATCTAGATATTAATATCAAGTCTTACTCTTGTATTATCTCTCTCAATCTGACTTATCTCTGATAGAAAAGTATAAAAAGATATCTCAGTAACTGTACTTAATACATAATCAGCAGACATGATAACTATAAAATTAGTATATCTTAAAATCTGACTGAGTCTTTGATCTCTGCATAGTGAGATATATTAAATTTAGTTTTAATATCTTAATATTCAATAGATTCTGCAAGAGATTGAGAACAGCAATACTAAATTTCTATTGAATTTAAGAATTAACTCTATATTAATATAATCATTGACAAAGTCTTCTATTTTGAGATATAAATAACTTATTATTATTATTATTATTCTTTCATTATACTCATATGCAAGCGGAGCTTATGATGAGTCCTTGCGTGATGTTAAATACAGGTCAAGTGTTGATTATACAGGAGGAAATACAGGTGTTGAGACCACATCAAGATAACAAGAACATAGGAAATACAAAGAAGTGACAATTAAATACATGCAATAATAACTTCCCAGCCCAGGAACATAGAGCAATTTTATTGAAGCAATTTGTACACCTCTGTATTTATTAGAAACCTGAGGTGCTTGAGTTCTGAATTTAATGTATTCCTGCGGGTTTCGAACCCACACGCCCTGATTTCCCACGCCAAGGCGCTACCGGGTGGCCGCATTAATCATTCGGCCACCGGAGTAGATATAAATAACTAGTTTCTCTATATCTCACTGATAATATTTATATTATTATATAGAAATAGACTTATATTCTCTATAATATCAAGACTCTGAAGAGAAAAAGTCTTGATAGAGAGTATACAGTAGTGTATATCTTAGCAGTTTCTATCTCATTCTTCTGCAGTAGTTAATGTAATAAAAAAAAGATCTTAGAAATAGTTTTTTACTTCTCTTGAAAAAGTAAGATGTTTTTCTCTGAGTTTTATATAATATTCTTACAAAGAATTAAAAACAGAGTTATTTTCTATTATAATTTCATATTCTTTTAAGTAAGAATTACTTTTTCAGTGACTGAAGAGCTTTCATTAATACTTAATTCTCTTTTATACTCTTTATTAACTGATTTGAGTTGTACACTTGTTGTGTGAGAAGAATTGAATGATTTAGAATAAAATTGAATAGTTTTAATCAATTTCTCTGTAAAAAATTGACTTATTTTTTAGCAGTTTTTCTCTCAAAAACTGTTATATTATCTGATTTATTATCAATTGATATCATACTGTTTCTCACTATATCTCAAGAAAGAGTTTATAAAGATTTTATTAATTTATCTTAAAAATCACTTTTAGTTTATTAGATTCTTTTCAAAAATCTAACCTAGTTACTGAACTAGTGTGAAAAAAATCAGATATTTCATATATAAAAGTCTTTCATTCTTCTTTTGAAACAGTCTGATCAACTTTTCAATTGAAAATAGACTAATAAATCTCTCAACTGAAACAGTCTGATCAACTTTTCATTTGAAAATAGATTAATAAACCTCTTAATTGAAACAGTCTGATCAACTTTTCATTTGAAAATAGACTGATAAATCTCTCAATTGAAACAGTCTGATCAACTTTTCATTCAGTGAGTAAAATGAGTTTAAGAGTACGCTCAGTTGATGTGAAAAAAGATGTTTTCCCAGATGCTGTTTCTGAGATTGAAATTCTAAAGAGAAGAAAGAAGGAAGAAATAGAGAAATAACAAGTTCTTGAAATACAGAAACTGAAAAAAGCAAGTAAAATTCTTGAAAAACAGTGTCTGAGTGAGAAGAATGAAGAAGTTCTGTTAATTCTTCATACTCAGACTAGACAACTACAAGAAGTGATTAAGTTCAAACTTGAAATTTCAAACATAATTCAAAAAACATTGAAATCTTTCAGTACAGTCACTGACTCTTTTTCATCTTCTACTTCTTTATCTTCTTCTTCAAATCAGAAGAAAATATATACTCAAGTAGCAGAATCTGCTGTCTTCAAACCTGCTAGTTCAAAATCTGCTCAAAATTCTGAGAAAACTGAGAAGAATATTACTTAGATCTCTGTTCATAGAAAGAAATAAAAAGAAGTATAAAAAGAGAAGAACTTTCAAATCTTCAGAAATAGAAGACTTATTCTCAAAGTCTTAAATCAGAAGAGCTTGTAAAAAAACAAGCTAAACTCAAATCTTATTTTCAGAATTAGAAATGAAATTAATCAGCAGTTCTTTTCTCAGTTAATAACTGATATTGAAGTTCAAAAACCAGTCATAGCTTCAATTAAGTCATCTTTTGTTGAAAATTCTATTATTTTGACTACAATACCTGAATTCAGTGCAGAATTCCTCATTCAGAATAAGAATCTCTGAAAATCAGCAATAGAATCTCTACTGAATAAACAATTCTATCTGAGAGAGATGAAAAGTGAGACAAATTTATTCTTCATAATATTCTAGTTGAAATTTTTGACTGTGAGAAAGAAATACTGCTTCTTAAAAATGAATTAGAAGAATACAATTCTATTCAACTGAGAAAAGAGTCTGTATAACTTAATTCAATTGAGTTCAGACAGAGTAGAAGAAATGCCTCTGTTCTAGTATATATAAAAACACTTGAATAATCAAGAATCTCTGAAGTAAGAGTAGCAGATTTGAAAATAAGAGTTCATGAATACAAAGACTCAAGAATGAATCTCAAAGCTTAAACACAGTGTTCAAACTGTCAAAGATATGAACACTTTGTAATCTCTTATTTCAGAGACTCAAAATGCACATTCTGTGCTAGAGATTACAAAACTAGTGAGTATAAATATGAAACATGCTCAAAAAGAGATGAAATATGTCAATATACTCTGCTTAAGTGCTTCAATTGCAAAGAAAAACATGCATCTAGCTTAAAAGAATGTGTATTTGCTTCAAGAACTCAGAAGAACTGAAGAAAAGATGAAGCTCAAAGTAAATCTAAAACTGAAGAGAAAAGTCAAGCTAGTAAATTCACAACTGTAAGCTTAAAAAGAAGAAACTCTTAACTATCTAGATCTTCAAACTTCAATTCTTCAGCTAAATGTAAACAGAATTTGAA